CCTAATGGGGTGTTTTGGAAGAAAGGAAGCTCTTAGGAATTTGAAATCTGAGTATCTATGCACAATGAAGATCCTACTATGCATGATGTACAAAATGACTAATTAACTGGTGGACGTCCCAACCACTAAGTATCAAATACCCAGGGAAGTACAAGAAACAGTCTTGCGTTCAAATATCAGAGTTATCAACTAAGAATTGAGGTGTTCAAAGACACGTATTTTTCAAGAACTATCGTAGAGTGAAACTCGTTACCACCAAGTACATTTGGGGCATCATCACTAGAAAGCTCTTGCAGTTAAATGAAAAGATTGTAGTCTCTACCAGACTATCTACGCTGGCTATATATCGGAGAATAATTGTCAGGGGAGTTTGTAGGTTTGACAGGCCGGAGGGAAAGAAACTACCTCCCCTCGGCCGGACTCCCCTGGCCAATGTTACTCTCTTTTTTGCCGAATTCTACGATCCGTATTCCTGAAGAAAGGCCTGGTGGAGGCTACTAAGATCGGGCGTAACAGGTCGTTCGGTGTAATATTGCTGCCGCTGCGCCGTGTGCCTGCGAAGCCGGTGTGTTACACCGAAGAGCAGTTATACCGGCTATACCGATACATATTCAGACATAGGAGGCACGTGCCATTCTATATTGGGTGGAGATAGAAATGGCCACTTGAACACATCCACCTGAAAAGAATTAGTCTCGATATTGAAGTGAACCTGAAAGTCACATCTTCCGTGACTTCCATTGCACAACATTGATTAGATGTCATATTGCTTCTAACAAAGCGCATCTGAGCTGGGCAGATTTCACATGGGAGAGTCCACAGCGCCCAAGGCCAAAGCTGTATATGTCTACTTGTTTGAAGAAATAAAGAAAAGAACGATCTATCTATCTATCTATCTGTATATATCCATCCATCTATCTATATCTATCTACCCATATCTATCTACTTATCTATCTTTCTCTCTATGCCTTTTGGTCTTGGTGGTTAAGGTAGCCAACATCAACTTGCTGATGATTCTGCTACACTGTAGTATTTGGGCTGTAGAATTTTGGACCACACCCGGGCATGCCCCTACTCTTTTTCGAAAGGTGTGGTGGGGTCTTTAACGTGCTCGAGGTGTGGCTCTCCTCAAACATGGTACCTCCAGTTTACGTCCTATCCGAGGGACGTCCCTAACCGAAGCTAGGTACTCATTTACACCTGAGTGAAGTGAGGAAATTCGTGTAAAGTGCCTTTCCCAAGGGCACAAGATCGGTGACATGGGTGGGGATCGAACCATGGGCCTCTAGGTCCCGAGCCGAACGCGCTACCGCTGCGCCACACGACCCCACTTTTTGCTTCCTTGGTTACCACTGCCTTTTTATGACTCTTATGTCTATTCCATGTCCAATATTTCGATGTTTTTGTGAAGTAAAAGTTGCAATTGCCATTGCCCACGAGGAGCCGGCCAACGTCTTGTCACAGCTTTTCTCTTGGGTATATCTAGGATTGCATCTCTGCGTGCCTGCATGCCCGTTTGTTGGTGTCTGGGTAATGTAGTCTGGGTTTTGATCCGACTCCATAGCCTTGTCTCCTGCCGATAGTCTAGTTGCAGTTGTGCCTGTCACCTGAGGCGTGTATACAGTACAGTATCACCATGCCTACACGTCACGTACTGTAAGGTAGACGCGTCCTTGCTGCAGGCCTCACATTCAAAGAGCTGTCTCTGGGGTGACAGATGACTTGAATCTGTGTGCCCATGCATCATGATTACAGATGTGTCCCCAGTGAGAATGAGTATGGAACGAATTGGACATTCTTAGATAAAAATGGCAATCTTGAATCTTGTGCGCCGATCACAATGGCGGCAGGTGCAGCAAAAAAAGTCGGCGAATTATTTGTTCACGGTAATGATAAATTCGCGGTACAGTGTCAGTGACGAAAACCGAATATAAAAGGACCGCAAAAAATTATGATTTACAGTATATATACGAATTGAAATTGAGTGGGTGAGTGAGTGGGCGAGTGAGTGAGTGAGTGAGTTAGTGAGCGAGCGAGCGAGTGAATGAGGGGTGAGTGAGTGAGTGAGTGTGAGTGAGTGTGAGTGAGTGAATGTGTGAGTGAATGAGTGAGTGTGTGAGTGAGTGAGTGATGAGAGTGAGTGAGTGAGTGAGTGAGTGAGTGAGTGAGTGAGTGAGTGAGTGAGTGAGTGAGTGAGTGAGTGAGTGAGTGAGTGAGTGAGTGATAGTACCCGTGGTGCACGTTTCCTACACAAAGGTCAGGCCAACACTAACACAAAACGTCCTTCAAGACTTGCTAGCAATCACTCCTGGCCCAATGACATCGAGTATAATGAATGAATCTTCATTTGTATGTTCATGGCCATGGGGCTAAATGCATACATCAGAGTGAGATGTTACATGTACATTGTACATCATACTGAGTAACATGATACATAGGATACAAGGATAACAGAATAACAAAAAAAGTCTTAACAACTACTAGAGAATAAACTAATCTAGGTATTGAAGATTTCTTCTCTCTTTTAAATTCACATAGTTTTTCTATTGTTTGGTCATTACTGGTGGACTTGAGATGATAGTGTGTCACGTTCAATATCATACAATTTACAATCAAGTACAAAATGCATTTCATCTTCTACGCTACTAGAGTTACAAACCTCAAATATTATAAGGTATTTAATTACTTAAGATTAGGAACACGTATGAGTTAGTCTTCACCTGATCCAGACCGTCAATTATACTCAATACCTCATATTGACACGATTCGACCCAGGCACTTCGGTCAAGCTGGGATCAAGACAATTTTATTCCCTCACGTCCAGATTGA